TAGAGACAACACATCTGTCTCTCACTGGGGAATGAGATGACAGAAAGATGCTACAAGGTATGTTGCTGTAAATTATAGCCACCTTGGATCATGTGCTTCCTCAACCCGTTGCAGGGATGGCTCAGTCTCTTGCAGGCTTGCTTGCCAGCCCATTAGCAGCACTGGATGTGCAGATCCAGCACAGCTGGCAGGAGCTGTGTGCCTCACTGCTCTGCAAGCTGCATTCAGAGCGCTAAGGAGCTCTGGCTGAAAGGTAACTAGCTTCAGATGTGCTCCAGCTTCTCAGAGTCTGCAGATTCTGTGAGTCAGGATTTCATTCACTACTCTCACACCTCAGCTGAGTGACCTTCTTTTGCTAGTCAGTTTGCAAACACATAACAAAAATACTTCTGCGAGTATAAAACTAATAATAAGAAATGGGGATTTTGTGTCTGCTTTGTTCTAGGAGTTTGTATATAAAAAAACCAATTTGCAGATTGTTGTAATTTTCTATAGCTGTCATCTCCCAGGGGTTACACTTACCTCATCCTTTATGGCATAATTGTTGCCAACTAAATTGTTTCTGTTATGATAAGGAAAAACTGATCCCTTGCTTCTTCTACATATACATGCACAGTCATCAGTACATTTATCAATAAGAGTTGGATGGACATGCCTCATTTAATTGAATAAGTTAGGAGGGAGTGTCGACCCACTGGAAGGCAGGAGGGCTCTGCAGAGGGACCTGGATAGGCTGGAGAGTTGGGCTGATTCCAACAGGATGAAGTTTAACAAGGCCAAGTGCCGGGTCCTGCACTTTGGCCACAACAACCCCTGCAGCGCTACAGGCTGGGCACAGAGTGGCTGGAGAGCAGCCAGGCAGAAAGGGATCTGGGAGTTTGGATTGACAGGAAGCTGAACATGAGCCAGCAGTGTGCCCAGGTGGTCAAGAAGGCCAATGGCATCCTGACCTGGATCAAGAACAGTGTGGCCAGCAGGAGCAGGGAAGTGATCCTTCCCCTGTACTCAGCGCCTGGTGAGGCCACACCTTGAGTGCTGTGTCCAGCTCTGGGTACCTCAGTTCAGGAAGGATATTGAGGTGCTGGAGCAAGTCCAGAGAAGAGCAACGAGGCCAGTGAAGGGACTTGAGCACAAATCCTATGAGGAGAGGCTGAGGGAGCTGGGGTTGTTCAGTCTGGAGAAGAGAAGGCTCAGGGTTCACCTCATCACTCTCTACAACTGCCTGAGAGGAGGTTGTAGCCAGGTGGGGGTCGGTCTCTTCTCCCAGGCAATCAGCAGTAGGACAAGAGGGCACAGGCTTAAGCTCTGCCAGGGGAGGTTTAGGCTGGATATTAGAAAGAAGTTCTTTACAGAGAGAGTGATCAGGCATTGGAATGGCCTGCCCGGAGAGGTGGTGGATTCACCGTCCCTGGAGGTTTTTAAGATGAGGCTGGATGTGGCACTGAGTGCCACGATCTAGTAATCACAGTGGGACTGGATCAAGGGTTGGACTTGATGATCTTGGAGGTCTCTTCCAACCTAATTCTATGATTCTGTGATTCTAATATATAGAACTAGGTACCTGCTCAAGAATTGTTATTATAGCCAGTAAATATACATCCTCAATATTTAGGCAAAAGCAACCATCTACTCTGAAACATCTCCAGATATATGAAAAATGGAGGCATGAAGGTATGATTTGATATGACCTTGGAGGCTGGCATCTGTGCACTTTGAAATGTCCATGGATATCCTGCTGCCCCTCTGTCTGTTTGCCTGCAGGGGTACGGGTCTCTAGCACGTAAGTGTCTGGTGCCTCATCTGCCAGTCTCTATTATTCAGGCAGCAGAATTCAGGATAAGTTTCTGCATTGGCTGAATTAACAGCCTACTTCAGCAAGGGGGCTGAGCCTTGGGGAATGACAAGGCATCAAAAGAGAATGCTGCTTTTAACTTCTGTAATAACAGTTTGCATACTTGTCATTCATAAATCACGCTGTCTCATTCCTCTTTGTTCTCTTCTGTTCTGTATTCTGCATTTGACACATGATCTCTTCCTACTTACATGACAGAGCAACCTTGCTCCCACCTATACTGGTTACCTCAAAAAAAGAAAAAAAAAAAAAAATCTGAAGTTTGGAGGTGCTGAGCACTGCAATCACCTGCACCAGAGAAAATGAGGCTGATAATAATTGAAAATAAGTAACAACAACAGTCTCACTTATATGTTATAGTGTATTTAATTAGTTACCATTTCTACCAGAATTAAGGGAGAAAACAACCACTGGAGGAGCGTGCTCTTTTTTTGTGTTTTTCTACTGATGGCAAAAATGTGTGTGAAAGGAGACTTCTGCTACGTGTCAAATCATCCGTCAGTTCCTCCCTTTAGATTTATCATTGGAGTTTGCAACATTAACAGACGTCATAAAAACCTGGATGCCAGAACACTGAATTAGATATATTAGAGATGTCTTGTAAAAGAGATGGGATTTAGACATGCACACACAGTTCTGATGTACTGGTGGAAAAAAAGGCATCCTGTTATTCTGCAAACTTTTATTGTTAGCAAATTCTGTGGAATTCTGAGACATTAGGTGAAAAGGATCTTTTTCCTAAGAGATTTGGTGTAGAGCCAGAGGCAATATACTGAATTATACAGAACTGCTTTTTTTTTTGGCAACTTCAGTTTTCATATTATCTTCAGAGTTTTTGCAGGGATGATAGGGAATTTAATGCTTACAGCTTTAATTTTGTCTAATCATTTGAGACCCAGACTGAATATGCATATATGTTTTCAGTGGAAAGTGTTGCAGAGTACTCAAAAAAGACAACCATGTGCTTGGGCATGGAGCCTTCAGGGTACCAAAGGCTGCTGGAGTATGTGCTCTGATGGGCGTACCAGAAACATTTTAGACTGAGCCTTGGACTATGTAGACTGTAGTCCTGTCCTTACTGATGTCCTGGTGTCTTCAGTGTGCAGAGTGCAGGAAGATTACAGGCAGATTTGAAGGTGGTACGTACACAGTTCTGGCAGTGAGTGTACCATCTATTAGATCCCTGGCGTAAGTCTGTTCTCCATCCCAGAAATAAACAATGACGTTAAACCCAAAAAAAGGTGTTTTGTTTGCGTGAGAGGCAGCGATTAAGTGACAGCCTACCGCTGGTGAAGACGAGCTCCTGGCTTGTTTTTCATTCTAGAATGCACGCGGACTTGACCTGCAGGTGAGGAAGGAGCTAAATATTGCCACTGACTGAATAGGAATCTGTCTGTCTTGATTATACCTGATACCTATTAGGATTCAAGAAAGAGGAAGAACAATTTTAGTCATCCTGTCAAGGATAACCAGGCTATTGACTGAGAGCTTGTATCTTCTGTGGTGAAACATGATTGTGGTAGTGAGAGAAATCCAGCCTCCAAAGTTTTATGTCTTTTTTTTCCTTTCCTGTTCCTCACAGACACATGTATCCATTTCCACGGCCCTTTTTACACCACCAGCTTTAAGCAACACCTTATTGACAGTTGACTGCCACGTACTGCAGGGATGTGCTGTGGGAAAGGGGGGTTTAAATCAAACCTTCACTGCAGCAATGGCTTTACATTCACTAAGGTGTGCACCTTTGGAAGCAACGCACACCTGATATACCTCCACCCAAACCAGGATAGGGGAGCTGGAGCTGCTTAAGACAGGGCTAAAGAGGGGGCGTGGATGGTGAGCACCTACAATCCAAACTCACATCTGCCAGCACTGGTCTTGCAGCATTGAACTGGCTTTGTCCAGGGATGAACTGAGCCCTCTGTCTTGGGCACCAAGAGAGGTCATTCAGTTTCTCACCATGGATTGAGACAGTCTGTACAGCTGTCTCAAGTGGGGAGCAGTTTCTCGGTTGCTTTTGGGGTACGTCAATGCTCGGGTAGTTCCTCAAATGTCTTTAGAAAAGTGGGGTCTGTAAGAGCAGGTCTTGGCACCTAGCACCTCACAGGTCTGGCAGGCTGATTGTATTTATGTTTTTCCTCCTTTAATTAAATTCTGGACACAGGCTGAAGTGATCCAGTGGCATAACAGCCCAGCTTTGATCCATCCAGGGCCCAGTCCTGTCCTGTCCTTCAGAGCACACAGTTCAAATGAAAACGAGCTACTGGATTTGCAGCCAAATTATATTAAGAGCAGCTCACAGGCGTCAGCTGGGATATAACAGGGCAATAAAGAGAACATTATCTAGATTAAAAATCATAGAATTTTTTGATTTTGTTTTTGTTTGTTTGTTTGTTTGTTTTGTGTAGCCAAGGAAATTACGCTTTATTAAAATAAAATGCAGCTTATATAGGTTAAAAAGGAAAAATAAGCACCGATGTCCTTGTGATTTCTTGGTAACTGTCTCTATTTTGTTTGATTCTGATTGCACTAAGACAATAACATGTATGTACATGTGAGTGCATGTGTACTTAAAAGTATAGCTGTTTATAAGTTGTTAGTGCCACCTACTCCACTATAGGGTCTCATTGTGTGAGACCCAAGGCAGGTACATACAAGATTTCTTCATTATTAACTGCCTAATTAGGCAAACCATAGAAAGAATAGTTGAGCTCCTTGCTGATTTAGAGTTTCTGATGTTGTAAGAGAATTTTCTGTTTGTAGATACCATCCTAAGTAAATTATCACCCTTTCGTTATGCTTTGCCTCAGACTCTGAAAGCACAGATCAGCTCTTTTTCTCTGTACAGTAGCTGGCAGACTTTTAAAATGCACTGATACTTTCAAGGCAAGGCAAGACAGCTTTTGTGTGGACAGGTGGGACAGAAGGGGACCTGAAGGAAAGGGTAGGTGTAAAGAGTGTTGTCCTGTGTTTCCGCCCTTTTAGTTTATTTCAGATGGCATCATGCAGCAGGTGAGTCCTTCGTCATGTGCCTTGGCGTGTGGCATTTTCAGGGATGAGGAATGTAATCACAGATACTGTGTCTGTCCATTGTGGTGTGACTTGGTGCTGACTCACTGCCTCCCCTCTGGCCCTTTGAAACCCCAAGGTGGAGTGGCTGAAGAATGAAGAGGTTATTGATCCCGTGGAAGACCGAAATTTTTACATCACGATCGATCACAACCTGATCATCAAGCAAGCCCGGCTTTCTGACACAGCCAATTACACCTGTGTTGCAAAAAACATTGTGGCCAAAAGGAAAAGCACCACAGCGACTGTGATTGTCTATGGTAAGTGCTGCTTTGTCCTGTTGCAAGTGGATGGATGCACACTCAAAGCGAGAGGGGCAGGAGGGGGATGCAAAGTGCATGTATGCAACTCTAGTTGTGGTCAGTCTGGGCTGCCTGTGCTGCCTGTTGACTTGCAGCCATGTGCAGGAACTGCAGTCAGGGTTCATTACTGAAAATATCAGAAGTACAGGTCTGATGGCTTGGCTTATTGGTGACAGGAAATGGTGACAGGAGGAACAGGCACCTACACACACAGCCAGCTACCTCATTGAAGAAAAGGCAGTTTTTCCCCTTGCCATAACACATGCCGGCTGGATACAGCAAGGAGCCACAGTGGCACATCCTCCAGCAGGAGTGTCCAAGGCATTGCTTACTACCAGCACAGTTCACGTTCTTAGTGACACTTTTCAGAAATAAGAGAGAAACTGAAGGAAAGTTTGTGCTCCCAGATACTGGTAAGAGTGTCAGAGCTCATCAGAACCATCCATCTCCTTATATCTCTTTAAATAAGCTTATTTTTGGTGTCTACTGCCAAAACATACCCTGAAGTCAGGAGTGAAGTAACAAAGCATTCTGGGACTGCAGTTCAGAGGCACACAGACTAGCTTAAAAATAAATGTTAGGGGAATACAAAGTATGGGATAGCAGTATTCTGTGTCTGCATCTGCAGTCCTGATACAACTGAGGCTGGTCATGCTTTGCCTGTGGAGGGGCTGGATGAGATGCCCTTCTAGAATCTCTTCCAGCCTGTGCTGCACTGCAGCTCTGCCCCACCACATTGAGCCTTTGCCCCTGCAGAGTTACTGCCCCAAATGCATCCCAGGTGGGGGTATCCACCAGAACAAAACCTGCTCTGATGATGTGCCAGCTGACTGAACTGGTGTTCCTTACAATCAGCTTAATTATAGGATAGACAAGTAGGAAAAAATCCCTATGATTATCCCTAATATTCATTTCATATTCAGGGTAGCAGTTAGATTTAATTGTAAGCAGTTGCTTCCCTGAAGTTACAATGAGGGCCTTTTAGTTCAGTTTTTATAGAAAACTGACTGAATTGAGTTGATTAGCAGTGGTTGTGATACTGAGGAATGGACCATGCAAGAGCTCCGTGTTTTGTAACTGTGATGAATGCAGTAACATAAAGATGTAGGCAACTGCTCCTCATTCATATACAGAATTTTTTTCAACAGTGCATTCAAGAGACATGTGTAGGGGAGTAGCATTTTTATGGGTTTTGCTACAAGAGCTGCTTAAGGGTTGTATCATATCACAAACATTTGGGTTTAGAGAATCTGAGCTGTTAGTATGTTACCCATATAGTGGAAGTGACATTCTTATGTAGAGCAGCATATCTCCTTCTTCATCTATCCATATATCCCAGAAAATGAGCTAGATGAAAAGGAGACTCAGCATAAATATCTTCCCAAAGTCAATTAAAAAAAAAAAAATGTATTTAGTGTTAGTTCACTCTGAACAGCTTAAATATCTGTTAGGGAAGTGCTGAGATATTCATATGCACCAGCTAGGTCCACAGAGTGGTTTGTGAAGTTGTCCTGACATCCTGAAATCACCTTCTTCAAAGAAAGGAGAAGAAAATTATCAATATCTAATCAAAGCGGGGAGGAAGGGGCAGGATGTGTCTCAGCATACATAGGTGATGGGTGCCTCTGAGCTTCTGTGGGAGTGCAGGTTATCTCCCTTTGGAAAATGCTACATCTTTCAGAGCATTGGCTTCTGGCTGTCAGAGCTGTGTGTGCTCTCTGAATCTGCAGGGATTTTGATCATACATTCTCCATCAGGAGCTTAGGGCAGGGTCAGGTCAGTTTTCAGTGTAAGGTTGGTCCCCTACCAGCCCTAATAGTTATCAAACAGTGTTTTTCACTTGGCATCAGCATTTCTTCAACTTTTTGAAGTGACTTCTGGCATACATTGGGCACGTTGGAGATGTGGGTTTTGTGTCTGTTCAGTGTTGCTTCTCATGCTATTCCCAGCCATCACTTTGGGCTTTGGGCTGACCAAACTGACCTGCTTATGGGATCATACTCTTTCCCTCTTGCTTTTCAGTGAACGGAGGCTGGTCTACCTGGACGGAGTGGTCAGTGTGTAACAGCCGATGCGGGAGAGGCTTCCAGAAGCGCACGAGGACCTGCACCAACCCTGCCCCCCTCAACGGTGGTGCCTTCTGCGAGGGCCAGAGCGTTCAGAAAATAGCTTGCACCACTCTGTGTCCAGGTTCAGTATGAACAGCACACAGCCCTAGATATATTGTTTGTCTGCCATCAGTCATTTCAGGAGAATACCATGAGTTACAAAGGCCTGCCTCCCGTTATTAATAAATCCAACATTTCAGGGAATGAATATGAAATTGTATTATATAAGTAGATAAAATAGTGAGCACATCATATAGAGCAGCAGGGGTTTCAGCCCTACTTTTGCACATTGCTTACACTGGTGTCTCGACCCTCATAATTCAGGGGATTTGGGGAACATTTGGAGTTTCAAATTTGAAAGCTCTGGAAAAGGATTGGAATTTGAATATAGCAAGGAACAGTGATGTAAATATATTTGCAATGTCTGTTCAGTCCAGCTGTCTGAGCAACTGAAGCATCTGGGATGTGGATGTTAAATTTGTGGCACATGTTTACCTGACTTCAAATAAAAAGGCATTTATTCTACAAAGAGATGTGTATCCATACCTTTGAAAGGTATTTAAATGTAAACTTCTGGAAAATAGAAAATTGCTTCAGGACACACCAGATTGTTGGTACTTCTCTGTGCCAAAGTTCTGTCCCTATTGCCCAGTGCTTACCTGTTTCTACACACCCACTCAAATCAATGTCAGTAAGGTCATCTTCAGCTTGTTAAGTTTGGCCATCCAGCTCTGTCACAGGAACAATTTAATATTTTGTTCTTCACCTGTTCAATTTAGTGCTTTTGAAAGTCATCTGCAGGACATCTGCAGGCACTAAACACATTCCTGATTCTGCTCATGTGAAATAGATTGGTACCTCTCTATATTTCTTTTAATAGGGAGTATTTAAAATTAAATATCTTCCCACTAAAGAAGAATTTTTGGACCAGTTTAACCTCTGTGTTAAAAAATGCCAAAAAATAAGATGAAATCACAGATTCCTGACTTGTTGCTTGTACACTTTGAACACAGGTAAACTAGTTAAATGTTTATATAAGGAGGAAGAAAGACCAGAAATGGGGTCAGAGCAGAGAGAAAGGAGAGGTGGGGGTGAATGTGCATTTACGTAATAGAAGTAGAACTTGGAGAAGAGCAGGCTGATGATCCTTCTGCCTCGCCGGAGATGGCCAGGAGTTGCAGGTTGGCTTTGTGGCAATGTGTGTGCATCGCTCTTGCTTGGTGTCACTTCTGTGTGCACCCTAACAAGTTGTTCTTTCCTTGTGTCAGTGGATGGCAAGTGGACGTCCTGGAGCAAGTGGTCCACCTGTGGCACGGAGTGTACTCACTGGCGCCGGAGGGAGTGCACGGCCCCAGCGCCAAAGAACGGGGGGAAGGACTGTGAGGGGCTGGTGCTGCAGTCCAAGAACTGCACTGACGGGCTCTGCATGCAGGGTAAGTGCCACTGTGACCTCTCTGGGATCTGGGATGTATGTGGCCACAGTGAAACCTGAAATAGCTGCAGATCAGCATCACTGACCTAAAGTCACAGAATCACTTGTAGAAGAAATGAGTTAATCCAGTTCTCACCAGTCTGGGCAACCCACTCTTTTTGCCTGATGATGAATGTAATTCTGTCTGAGGTATATGAAGCTGAACGGTGAAGAATTAGAAAGAGCCGTGACAGAGCCTTCTTTCCCCTGCCCTCCTCACCAAACAGTTTTCCTCTCTCTAAGGGTGCAGCATCTGTCCAGAGAAGTTTGGCAGTGGCTCTTACAGCAACATAAATGGAAAAAGGAGCATTTTGGGCCAAAGTTAGCATTTTCTAAAGAGTAAATTTGGCCAAGCAGATAAACTTGTGGCTTCTTAATGTTAGGAATGGTGGGTGCACGTATTTCTACATATAATAGTTATGTGCCTTTTTGAATTTTGAGTGCCCTGTGGTAGAAAGAGGTAGGCTGTATCTAGGCAGTGCCAGTGCAAACTTCACATATATAGTCACAATCATGCTGCAGCCTCGTGAAGATCAGCTCTAGCACTGAAGTGTATTCTGCCTGCACCTGTTCATGCCATGGTCCCACTCTTGTGACTAACAGGAGAGAGAAGTAAAAAAAAAACCCCAAGCTTTAAGCGTGATTTGACATATACTGATGAACAATTTGTCTGCTCTGCACCCCATCCTTTCTCAAAAATTAGGTCTTCTCTGGGCTGTTGGTGCATCAAAACTCTCTTTCACATTTCAGTAGCACAATAACCTGAGCCAAAATCGTCACATTCACGTCTCTCCTGCCCCTTCATCCCATCTCCTGACAGTACTTCTCTGTCAAAGCTCAGCTGTCTGTTGTCCAAAGAGTTGTGGCTGTAACTATCCAGTATCTATGTGTCCAAATCATAAAATGCTTTGAGTTCTCTCATAAAAAAGGAGTTAAGAATTTTTTATTCTCTGAGGCAGATTACTTTTGACTGAAATAGTCACAATGATAGAAAAGTGACACTACTAGCTAATACATGGGTCTACCCCTTGAATAATTACTTTATAGGATGGCTACTGTGCTGGCAGTGATCTCTGAGCTACCTTATGGCACAGTATGGCCACTTGTCCTGGGGTTTCCCAGAGTTACAAATAGCTTCCTCAGTGTGGCTCATACAAACACTTCCATCATGTTAAAAACTATTAGTCAATGTCAGCAGCCTATGAAGTTGTAATGCCTCAAAAAATCTCTTTTTACGGGGAAAATGGAAAGGTAAAATTTAGAGCTCCTCTCTTTTTCATTTCTAAAGATAGAAAAAAAAATAAAAATCCATCCATGTCTTACTATATAACACTGTGACTTTTATTGTGGGGAAGCTAGCATACCCTTAGCTCCAGAACTGTTAATAAGTCATTATGGTAAATTAGGAAGAAAAGATACATTTCCCCATACAGAAGAGCTCTTCACTATCAGATTATATTTAGACAGGTGTATGTCATCTTTGTGTGTGTGCATAAAGACAGCCATTTAAACAGAGGTCTTGTGGAAAAGTAGATATAATGGTACAGCAGAATAAAAGCCCTGTAGGGATCTCGTTTATCTGTTGATGGTATATTGCATTTTATTTGTGAAAGTGGATGCTGAGTATAAAGCACAGGTCTTCAGTAGGAGAGATGGTGAAACTGTTGTGAATCCTATTCTGCTTCATATATATGTATATAAAAAATGATAATGAAAAATATGCAGTCACATAATGACCTGCTTAGCTCCAGGGGCCGTGGTAATCCTTCAGTGTTGGAATTTAATGGCAGTGTTTTAATGGTGTCTTTATACTCGCGGGGTTTCATATACCTGTAAAACTTACAGTCCTGCTCCCTGATCCATCACTGCTGAGAAGATTGATTTGCCGTACTTGGTGGCAATGTGCCTGCTGCTCTCGCTCTCTCTCTCTCTCTCTCTCTCCCCCCCCCTCTCTTTTTCTTTATTTCTCCTTCTCAGTTTATGCACAATCAATCTGAACACTTACATTTTTGCCCATGTGGATTTAGGTTCATAGAAAATCTGCCTGCTGAGCCAGGAAAGCACACTGGACTCCTTTCATTTCTAAAACAACATCCTTCTTTCCATATTATTTGAGGCTTTTGGGGACTGGCCAGGAACTGACATTTCTCCTAGCCTGGGAACCTGTGGATCCACAGCAGACTTTTCCAATGCCTTCATGACACTGAGTCTGGCATGGCACATGTGGCATGGAAGAAGCTACAGCCACCTTTTTTTCTGTGGCCATAGCCCTCAGGGAGATGTGTTGGCCAGCTGCTTACCTGCCCCATAGTCAAATCCTGTTCCTAGATGACCTGGTGCTACCTCCTTACTGTCAGCCTTTAGTGAGAGCTTGAAGGTTGACACTGGGGGTGTAGTCGGGGTCAAAGAATTAGTAGACAGACCCTCTTGCAAGGAGTCAGTAGCCTGTTGCTTTGACAAAAACTCACTTGTAAGTATATATCTTTATGAAGCTGCACGTAAAAGATAACCTGGAAAATGCTGGATTGAATGAGTCTAATTTACAAGCCCTTTCTCTTCCAGTCTATTATTCACTTCAGTAGCATCAGCTGGATAGATCAATAAGCTCTTTCATCAGACTGCTCCTGCTCCAGCAAAGAGCAGAAGTCTGCACCACTATCGATTGCTGTGGGGATAAAAACTGTGGAGCTTTCTCCATCCCTTGTAATTACAGCATTTTACACACAAAGCTGTAGCTTGTGCTTACCACTAACTGTGGCATTTCTCATGCAACTCGGCTGTCGCATTTATTCAGACTAATGATCTTGCTAGTATACACATACACTCCCTTATCCAGTAGTTAGTATTTTTCTGTTAACATGAAGAGATGAACAGTCATTAAACTAGAGAGCCTGCAGAGACACAGCAGGCTGAATTGAAGAGGAAAAGCAGATGTAGTGAAAATTTAGGGTGGGCATTGCTATTTTTAGTTTCCAGATGCATAATATTGCTTAGCAGGTCCATTATAACAATTCCATAATTCCCATAATAGCATTAATATGATCTTCTGGAACAAAATATGCTGTAGGTGTAAGAAGAATTGGCTGGTTACCACCCACACTAGTTGCATTATTGCCTCCATAGTTGCATTATTTCCCATTTGATGTATGAGTACTGTGGTAAATACTTCGATGCAGGGAACAACACTTTTAAAGGCACGCACTGCATCTCACAGGGGATTGCTATAAACTGAAGCACTGCAATTAGCCCTTCACTCATCCCACCTAATGACTTTGGGGGGTGTTCTGTGTGGAGAATAGGAAAGCAAAGCACTCCCTTGCTAGCTAAAACTTCAGAACAATTAGTTCCCTTCACTAGGTCACAAATTATTTTAAAGCAACATACAAGTGGAAGTCTTTGGCTGAACTCAGTCTGGAATGACTGCTAGATCATTTGTCTGGTACAAAACAGATGCTACAAGTCCTTTGGCAGGCCAAGCTCTGCTTTGTATTATGTGTAAAATGCTGCTGGTAGTCAGGAAGAGGTGGACCCTATGAGAATACTTAGCTGTACTGCATGGTTATGTTGAAGGCTTATTACCTGAGTTGTGACCTGCAGCTGTCATGCTCAGAGCCTGTCACCTATATCCTATCTGTTGAGGATCTGAAGTGACAGTGTTCAGATCTATATTGTCCCTGTCCTGAATGAATAAGTACAGCAAGTCTGTACGTGTGAGGTTGGTGCCTGCTGGGCTTTTGGCCTTTTCTGAAATCATGCCTGGGATGTGTAGGGTTGGCACTAGCACAGTCAGGAAAATAACCAGTGCCCCTTTTTCAGCTCGCTCTTGGCTTTAGTCAACCGCTGTGGCTTTTCATAAAAGGCTGGCTAAGCTGTGCTTTTGATTTTTTCCAAAACATAGGATTTGCTGTCTCACAGCAACAAGCAAGATAATACTGAAGCACATATTGTTCCTTGAGGACTATGGATTATAGAGTTACATAAAGAGTACTGTTTCATTGTGTAGTAAAATTGTTTATTTTATAGTGTCATAATATGGAATAAAGATCCATCATTGAGTAGGGCTGAAAGGAAATTCCCACCTGTGAATCATTTCCGAGTGTCATCAGATCCAGTATAGACTTTTCCTTTGTTGCTTGAGCATGAAAAGACTGAGATGTCCTATTGTCATTTAAAGAATGAAAGAAAAGATTCAAAACATCTTCATTTGTTGTTAATCTGGACTAACTCTTGGATCACGTTGGTGATCACTGTCTCTCCTTTCTTGTAACTAACTACTTGGAAACTCAAATAGCAGATGTACCACTTGAGAAAAAGATACCTATACCATGGTGAAGATGTTATTATCGGCCTAGTAATTCCATTCCTTTTTCAAAAAGGCTTCCTTCTAGTCAAGAGTGAATTGATGTGAAATGGTGATGGCAAATCGGTATTTGCTGAGCACTCTGAAATCCTTGTCTGAAAGGCAGTGTGAAGTTCATAAGGTTCCCTCTTACAATGATAGTGTGTAAGCGAGTGAAAAAGATGCAGTTTATCCTGCTCTTGTGTGAAATGGCTAACTGCTGCCCTTTTGCAGTCTCATCTCTGTTTATACACAGATCTGGAGTGGAAGGCAAGGTTACCCTGATACTACCATCTCTTTCTTCCCAAAACATAAATATTCTGCACATGCCTTGCTTGTTTAATGCAACATGTCAGAACCTCTGATGGAATAAGTATTCGTTTCCCTTTTTGGCTTGATTTGAAAGCAGGCATTCAGGGAAGAATTACAGGGTAGAGCAGCTTGGTCGGGACCACAGGTCCACCAGAGCAGATTAGTATGCAAAGAGCAGGGGAATGTTTTCCAGACTCCAGAAGGCAAGCAGAACTCTCTCAAGGGAGACTGCAACAGAAGCCCATGTGTGCAGAGGAATGAAATAAAACCTTTTATTAAGAGCATGTGGGTCAAGAGAGAACTAATACGTT